CGCCGCCATGATGAACACCTCCACTGCCCGGAGGAGTTCGGTTGCTGCCGCCCGTGCTCCAGCCGACCGGGGCGCCCCCCATCCCCTCTCCGACGCCGCCGCTGTTGCACCTATTGGCGGCGTTAGTCGTGGGAGCGTTCGTCTCTACGAGCCGCAGCAGCGGCAAGCCCTCGAGGACCATAAAGTGCGCCAGCACCGCCGACAGCACAGGGTCCTTGTCCTTGGCGGGGAGGCCCTCAAAGATCGCCCTGGCGGCCTCCATCCCCTTGGCGTACTCCGTCCCGGGGCCCTGCCCTCCGACGTACTCGCTCGCCATGGCGTACAGGATGAGCGCCGACACCGCGTAGCGGTCCGAGAGGCCGCCGAACTTGGCGACGCAGGCTCGCGCTGTGGTCATGTGCGGGGCGACGGCGGCGGGGGGGCACCCGCTGATCAGGCCGCCCAGAGCGACGCACGAGAAGAGGGAGCAGGACAGCGCCTGCCCTCTCATCGCCTCCGCTCCCTGGAGAGCCTCCTGCGAGTCGCGGTTGGCGAGCCCCACGAACTCGTGCATGAGGCCGTCGCGAATTGACGCATCGTCTGCGCAAGGGTACCTGTTGTGGCGTGTGATCAACTTCGTTTTGTTTCGATGCACTTTGTGTCTTAGACGTCGTTGTTGAGTCATCGCAAAAACGGTTGATGATTGTTGCAGGTAAGGAGGGTAAAGTCGGACGCATAGCATATGAATCAGAAGCGTCCGTTCTTCGGCGAAAGAAATCATCAACACATACATCCCCCATGAGTAGGTCCCAATCATCTCGAGACATCCCCTCGACCATTCCTCTCCTGGTGATGAAATTAATCTCCGTCAAGAATATATTCTCGACAAGAGGCAAAAGGAATGACAAGTATAATGGTATTCCACAGCTACAACGGTAGTGGGCATGGCACCCTGTCCGTGTGTGCGAATGCAAGTCGGGTCACGAGCAGGCGTGATCACCATCATCAACAGAGTCAGCAGCCGCGTAGAAATGTTCGCATACAGCACTGCTGTGGTCGGGGAGGGGCGAAGGGAGCGAAGGGGCAAGATGGCCCGGCAAACAAGGCAAGACATAACAACGTCGGGAGACCCAACGAATCCATCTCTATCCAATCGGGGGCGATTGCGGCTCGAGCGCTGAACTCAACGCTGAACTCGAACGCTGAACATACTAAAGAATGTCTGCTCTGGGCAAAGGCGGAGCTCCAGCGATCAACGCCAGAGTGTAGACGCGGAGCATGTCAAGTAGAGACACCATTTTCGTTGCTGCTCTAACCGCAAAATGCCACGCACACAAACTACCGGCGGGGGCGGGGAGGATTAGTGGGAAAACTGGAAAAAACAATCTGGGGTTGTGTTGAGCGTTTGTAGTTCTTGGCCATACAGCTCCGTGGATCAACCATCGACGACTCGGTGGATCTCTGGATCAGCCACACGCCACCAATCGCTACAAGGGCGC